GTGCGTGTGTGTGTGTGTGTGTGTGTGCGCGCAGGGCGGCCGGGCCCGCCGTGGGCCGGAGGCCGAGCCAGCGAGCGGCCTGCCCCGCTGCCGGGAGCCCGACTCGCCGGGCCTCCCCCTGCCCCGTCCCGGTCCCCCTCCTCGGGGCCTTCTATATGGGCCACCTTCTCTCGAAGGAGCCGCGTAACCGCCCGAGCCAGAAGAGGCCTCGCTGCTGCAGCTGGTGCCGCCGCCGCCGCCCTCTCCTCAGGCTGCCCCGCCGGACCCCGGCCAAGGCGCCCCCCCAGCCGGCGGCGCCCCGGAGCCGGGACTGCTTCTTCCGCGGGCCCTGCATGCTCTGCTTCATCGTGCACAGCCCCGGCGCGCCCGCCCCCGCCGGCCCAGAGGAGGAGCCGCCGCTGTCGCCGCCGCCGCCGCGGGACGGGGCCTACGCCGCGGCCGCCTCCTCGCAGCACCTAGCGCGGCGCTACGCGGCCCTGGCTGCCGAAGACTGCGCCGCCGCCGCCCGCCGCTTCCTGCTCTCCTCCGCCGCTGCCGCAGCCGCAGCCGCCGCCTCGGCCTCATCTCCCGCCTCCTGCTGCAAAGAGTTGGGGCTGGCCGCGGCCGCCGCCTGGGAGCAGCAGGGCCGGAGCCTTTTCCTGGCCAGCTTGGGGCCCGTGCGCTTCCTGGGGCCACCCGTCGCCGTGCAACTCTTCCGGGGGTCGCCGCCGCCGCCGCCCGCCGAGCCCCCCACGTCCCCGGAGATGGTGTGCAAGCGGAAAGGGGCCGGAGTCCCCGCCTGCACCCCCTGTAAGCAGCCCCGCTGCGGCGGCGGGGGCTGCGGCGGCGGCGGGCCTGCGGGAGGAGGCGCCTCGCCTCCGCGGCCCCCCGATGCCGGTTGCTGCCAGGGCTCCGAGCCGCCGCCGCAGCCTCTCTGCCCCCCGCCCTCCGCTCCCACTTCCGAAGGTGCCCCCACGGAGGCCGGCGGGGACGCCGTCCGGGCGGGGAGCACCGCCCCCTCGGCTGCCCAGCAGCAGCATGAATGCGGCGACGCGGACTGTCAGGATCCCCGTGAAAACGCCTGCGACTGTCATAGGGAGCCGCCCCCCGAAACCCCAGATATCAACCAGCTGCCGCCTTCCATCCTGCTCAAGGTGGGTCTGGGCGAATGGCGCAGGGATGCGCGCTCTCCCCCAACCTCGGCTCCCTCCTCGGAGGCTTTCTTCTCGGAGGCTTTCTCCTCCTCCTCAGGGCAGAGGAGGGGGTTCCCTGACAGCCAGACGCGTCCCGAGGGGAGATGGGGAAGCCAATGGGGAGGATGCTGAGGGCCTATTTTTTGAAGTAGGAAAACCTGGGAGTCTACTGAATGTCTTTTAATAGCTTGGGTTTGTTACGCACAATTCAAGGCTCATCTATTATTAGATTCCCAGCCCAGTGGTTTAGAGATTACCCGTGGGTTTTCTGCGAAATATTTTAATCAATGACCAATTTGCACTTACTGGATAAAGACCGTTGTGTGTTAGTATTCGAAAGTCTTCCAACTATTTCCAGGTTTGATAGTTTCCTAGTTTGATGTCAATAACACTTAACTTTTTTTGAGCCTTTACCATGATCAGGCACTGTCCCAGAGCTTTATATACGTAATATCTCATTTAATCCTGCAATTACCGTTGTGAGATAGTGTTAACGTCCTTACTTTATACGAGAAGAAACTGATATTTCAGTACTATATGCCTACAGTAGTAAGTCAGGCAGAAGTGGTATTTTCTCTTATGGAGATCACAGCCTGGTGTGGCTTGAAGAGATTAAATGACTTTTCCAAGGTCACACACAATCGTAAGAGGCACATCTGGGGAATTTAGGCCTGCTTGACTTGAAAACCCTTTTGTTTATGCTATGTTGTATTAGCTTCCAACTTTTTAACAGTTGTATAAAAGCATACATATTGCCAGAAGGTAAGGACAAGTGTATTTTTTGTTGGGGGATGGGTGAGTGGAGAAGAGAAGGGTGTCCCGTAGGAGCTTTGTCTCACTTTCAAGTACCAAGTAAAATTTGGCAGTTTTGTCAATGCTAGTGATAAACTTAATTATGTGATAGTTTGTATTACGTTGTTATTAACAAGTTCCCTCATTTTCTCCCCCCCTCCTTTCTGGAGCTTAATAAATGTAAACCTTCCTTTTCAGTGTGGATGATATTTAAGACTAGCCAAAAATAACTTCTATAAAAATTTGGCTACTTTTGTTGTTACTGAAGTAACTGTCATCAATTACAGTTGTTACTGTCACCAATATACTTTATTTGATTCGACATTTTGCATATTTATCTGTTGTGATATTAATGTTCTTGTGAATAATATAGCAAAAGAATGGGAAACCTTAACTTTTCCTTGTGTCAAAATGTAATGCTTTAACTCTTAGAGAGGTATATTTGTCGGAGGAATAATTGCCTCCGTTGTGTGTTCAGGATGTGTATTTTAGAAAAGAGGGAACTTTCTCGAGTCCTTTGAATTAGTGGGTGATATGGACAAATAATATATCAACATATATTTGGTATTGAGGTTTGATTGGTTGTCTTGTTATTTGGCAAACAAAACTGTTTAAAAACAAACCAAAACAAAAAAACTCAGGTATTCTGCTTTTTACCTAAACCATTATTTCATGAGGCAGAGAACATTTTAATACAAAAAAAAATAGAAAAGAAAAAAGGACATGATCTTATAATAAAGAGATTATAAGGATAAACTAATTCTGTCTGCTACATTGTTCATTTTCACATTTTTGCTGTGAAAAGTTGAAAACTTGGTCTAAGGGACATTTGGGAATTACTCATTGGACTTGCCCTGTTTGTGTTAGAGTATTTGGATGTTACGTAGATTTTTTTTATTTTTTATTAGAAACTGTGTGGTTCTCATAGTCCTAGTGGTATTCAGCAACAAGTGAGGTAGACTGTCTGGAATGAATTGAAATCAAGGTTTTTCAGTGTTTACCAAATAGAACTTTTAGGGATAAGGCTTTTGGGGGCAGAGACTCTGTCTACACAGACTTGTTTATTGCTGTATCCCCTCTCTTAAGTGCAGTGCCTGGCATTTAATAGTACTCAGTAAATATATAGAATACATTAATGACCAAGTGTTTAGAAGTCTGGACTGAGACTCTGGGTGAGTATGCCATACCACTAAGAAAAGTGTCTAACTTAGAACCTGAGTTGTTCTGAGCTACAACAGAGCCATGCGACATTGAAAGGGTTCTAGCTCTGTTTCTGGTGAGAATTGGAAGTGTCTGACTTGGAGAAGAGAATTCATTCTTAGGGAACTAGGACTTTTTTTTTTACAGTATAGGAAGGATCGTTGCATAGAGAGGCACAAATCCATCACCTCCATTGGGAAACATTCTTAGAAAGTATGCTCTGCTGTCTTGATAATGGGTCAGTAACCTTTATGATTGTATTGCTACTCCTTTTGTACCAAAAGTTACTATAGTTGTAAAAAAGGGGATGCAGAGGGAGGAAGTTTAGGTGAGAAATGTGAGGAAATGTGATTTAAAGGATGTTAGTAGGGAAAGCTGTTATACTTGCCCAGTTTTTTCCAGGTATGGCAAAAGCAAAAGAGGAAAATTGAATTCTTTCTGTGGTGCTTCATAGGCAGATTTTGGCTCATTATCAACAAGGCCGTTTCTTTTTAAATTTTATTTTATGTAAATAATAAGTATTACTTGCTATAAAACATTCAAATAATGTAGGTAAAGCAAAAGTTGGGCCTTTCCTCTCCAGAGAGGACTAACCACTGTTACCAGTTTAGATTATTCTTCTAGACCTGCACTGTCAAGTATAATTTAAAATCCAGTTTGTTGGTCATAGTAGCCACATTTCAGAGATCATTAGTCATGGGTGGCTGGGGGTTACTGGACTGGACTGTGCAGATCTAGAACAGTTCCATCTTTGTTGAAAGCCCTGTGTAAAACCTTCATAGTCTTTTTATAAATGGCATCAAAATGTATATGTCCTGCAATTTTTTTTTGGGGGGGATGGTGGTTAGTAGTATGGTTTGGAGGGCTTTCCCATTAGTGAGTATATGGTTTCCTTCATTTAAAAAAAATTTTTTTTTTTAAATTTTATTGGGATCAGTGTGTTTTTCCAGGACTCATCAGCTCCAAGTCAAGTAGTTGTTTCAATTTAGCTGTGGAGGGCGCACCTCAGTAGCCCATGTGGGGATGGAACCCACAAACTTGGTGTTACTGCGCTCTAACCAACTGAGCTAACAGGTCGCCCTCCTTCATTTTTTTTAACTGCTACATAGTATCCTATAGTGTTATACCACACTGCATTTATTTCTCTGTTAGTGGATGTTTCCAGTTAATTGCTACTACAAACAATGCTAATAGGTGTTTTTTATGCACATGTGGTCATGTTTTTCTAGGGTACATTTCAAGAAGTGGAATTTCAGGGTTGAAGAATGTGTATATTTTGAAATTCAGAAAGTCCTTTCTAACAATAGAGCTGTGTAAAAATGAAATGAGTTCTTTCTTGAACTCATGAGCCTCTTAGTAATGTAACTTCAGAACAGGAAGAGACCTTTGACACCATGTGATCTTTCCCCACTTAAGCATGAAGATACAGGCCGGAGAGGTGAAATGGCTTACCCTAATACATTTTAGACAGTGAATGGCAGACCCTGGTCTGGAACCCAGCTTATTGTTTCCAGGTCTAGAGATCTTTTCAACATACTGGGTGAGAGGACCTGAATAATCTTCTCTCAGAGATTTCATGAAAGAGATTCCTGAATCTGGGGGTGGGTGAGGAGGAGCTTACACTAGATGACTGACTTCTAAGCCTATGAGTCAGAGGCTAATTTAAAATTGGGTCTGTAGGGTTGAATTGTGGTCTTTAAATATAAGAAATTTGAGAAGCAGGGAATGTCTCTTCAAAGGTCAACTGTGGGAATAGCATTTTCTTAAATACTTAGGCCTGTTACAGTTGATCTTTGACTGGTGAATGGATTGTTTTGGATGAAATAAGCTAGCTTCCATCTTTGCTACCTGTTGCCTTTATAACTTAAGCAATCCTTTCTGCTGATATCACAATTAGATTTTTTTTTTGTTTTTTAGCTGAGCTATCCTGCCACCTGTTGGCAGCTCAGCGGCTGCTCAGCTCAGGCCGGGACTCGAACCGCTGTTGCTCAGAGCTCAAACTCTTGAGCGAGCTCTTAACAAACTGAGCCACTTAGCCGGCCCACAATTAGATTTTTATATGGTGGAATCATTATGCAACAATTTTAATTTTACCAAATGATAGCAGTGGAATATTTTTCTTTAAGTAATTACTATTTGAGTAACTGGGTGTGTTGTGATATATATTTAAATTTTAGAGACTTTGTGTGCTATATTTAGATATCTTGCTCTCTGTCAGTAGACCTACTTCTTTCCAAAGGAAACCAGGCGGGAGATCCAAAATTTACCACCACCATTAGAAAACCATCTCCCCATGCATGTACTCTTTTTTTTTTTTTAAAGATTTTTATTGGGGAATTGGGGGATGGGAACAGTGCTGGGGAATTGGGGGAAGGGGAACAGACAAGTTGCTGTCCTTTTGTTCTTCAGTCTAGTTGTGGAGGACGTTGCTTCACTAGCCCAAGTTGGCACCATCATTGCGCTCTTCCCGGGCGAGGCACATCAGTCCCTGGCTTCTGGACGGCCGCTCACGCTGGCTGCTGGCCGCTCACACTGGCTGCTGGCTACACACGGTAGCCCATGGCAACCCACTGCCACAGGGGCTGCAGCCTACGCCATCGCCAGTGACTCACTGGCAGCCCAGCTCCAGGTTGAGCTGTTGTTCAGCATCTTAGCTGTAGAGGGCAGTGTCACTGGCCCTCTGTGGGATCCGAACCGGGGCCTCTGGCGTCCTAAGCCAGTGCTTAACCAACGCGCCACTCGGCCGGCCCCCCATGCATGTACTCTTGATAATGTATCAGTAGGTGTTAAATGTTTATTTTTACAGCTTTATTACCAACAGGTTGCTTTAGTGATCAAAGAAGAGTTTTATAAGAGAAATGTGCTTTGGAGGAAAGCTTATGTACCCAATCTATTTTTTTTTCAGATATGCAAACAAGGATGAAAGCAATGGCAATAGGAGTCAAAGAAAAAAGTAGTATCACTTTTGA